TGAATGTCATCTTGAATTTTTAAAGTCATCTTTCAAATTGTCAAATAGTTTTATTACCCAATATTTTAAGATAATGTCCACCAACCCTTTCCAAACAAAAGATAATAAGAAATTACACAGATTTCAGCTAAAGAGTCTTGCTATAATTGAAGAGAAGATATGGGTTAATGAATTTTCAGGTGACTAGAAACCTCCTCAGGTTGTTGCTATGGTGCTTGAACACCTTTTGGTAGCATCTTGAGAACTTAACAGGGAAGAGGGAAAACGAGCACTTTAGCAAAATGCTCTGTGGAACCCTACTCATTGTTTCAAGCCCTGCTCCCTCATGATCTGAGTGATCTGAGAGCAAATGGTTACATGACACCCCCCAAAAAAGTGTTTTTCTAAGTATTACACAGTTCCCTCAACATTGATCAGAAAAATCATGAAATCTGCCAGAGGCTGGTTGGAAACAGGTTTTTCTTCCACATTGCAATAACCATCTCCATGTTTATAAAATTACATGGTTTCAGATGAAGCAGTCATTTTAATTTCTTTTGATCATTCATCCCAAATATTTAAGAATTATGGACATTTTTCTATTACAACTGTCAGTGTTTGTGAAGTTTTCATTTTGTGACATGACAATCACAGCTARTTAGTCCTCTAGGAATACAGTCCATTATAATAAATGTGGCCCTATAAAAATGTATATTATTTATTAAACCAGTTGTTATTATGTACAATGTGGCTCAAATGCAATCAGTATACACTCCAAGCCATTCACACACACACACACACACACACACACACACACACACACATGCATCACACTAATGTGCATTCCAGGGAACTCTGCTAGTACCCAAATCTTTCTTTGCTTATTTCTACCACCTAGCACCAAAGACAATGCCAGGAATATTAGAGGAACTCAATACATACTCACAGAGAGAACTGAGCCATAAAAATACCATCATTGTGGCTTCATTTGTATATAAACTGAATATTCTCCAGAGCAACTCTGAAAAATGTGAGGTGAGCACCTGTGATYCCAGCAACTCAGGAGGCTAAGGCAGGAGGATCCCAAGTTCGAGTCCAGCCTTGGCAATTTAGCAAGGCTCTAAGCTACTTAGTGATTCCCTGCCTCAAAATAAAAATAAAAAGGTCTGCAGATGTGGCTCAGTGGCTAACTACCCCTGGGTTCAATTTTTCTGATCTCTTCTGTGTCTCTGCCAAATACACTCTAATTTCTTTAGGTATCTGATCATATMAAAAATAATATTAATACTTATGACTTTTTACAATGATTACTATGTCTAGACAGTGGGGTGTGTTCATTTATTTCCCACAACTTTATAAGTTAGATGATACTACAGCCCTCAATTAATTGATGAGAAAAATTCAATTATAGACAAATAAGTACCTTGGCTGCCATCAGAAAAACATGGAGCAGCTGACATCTGGTCTCAAATGTCTCTGACTGGAAGCTCTGAATTTCAATTCCTTATCATATCACCTCCTAGTCACAAAGCCCTCCCTACCACCAGAATATGAGGGGGTGAACTGCCCAACTTTTATTATTTCATAACATCTCCATCTCTTTTCTCACTTCCTTTTCTCGAGCCCACCAATGCCAAAATCCATTCTGTCTGTCTAGACTGGAATGAGGGTGCTTTGGCTCAGTTGCCTAGGAGCTGACTCATTAATCATTACACTTCAGTGTGAATAGGACACAGTGCACAGAAGTGCCTCTGCCAAACRTCCATCTTCAACCTGTAACTCTGCTACTCAATAATAAATTGTATCTATTTGTAAGGGAATTCAGGTATCAGCAATTAATTGAAAGAAACATCTCTGAAAATTATTTGATTTATTCAATACTATTATAAAACTTCCTGTCCAAATTCATATGGTGAAGCTCGAACTCCCAATGTTCCAATATTTGGAGATAGGGTTGTTAAGGAGGTGATTAAAATTAAAGGAAGTCATAAGTGTGAGACCCAAAATTTATAGGAATAGTACCCTTATAAGATGAGAAAGAAACAAGAGTTTACTTTTAGGTTTTCTGTTTCAATTAACTTTTTCAAGCTATGATCAAAAAAAAAAAATGAATAGACACTTAAAAGAAGAGAATTTTATTTGGCTCATGGRTTCAGAGGTCTTAGTCCATAGATGACCATCTCCACAGCGATGAACCTGAGGTGAAGCAGAACATCTGGTGGAAGAGTATGGCTCAGGACATGGCAATCAGGAAGCAGAGAGAGCTCTGCTCACCAGGGACAAAATATATACCCTAAAGGCACAACCTCCTCCAGCCATATCCTACCTGCCTACAGTTACCACCCAGTTAATCCCTGTCACAGGATTAATGTACTGATTAGGTTAAAACTATCATAGCCCAGGCATTTCACCTCTAAATTTTCTCATTGTCTTACACATGATTTTCGGGGTGGAGGGGGCACCTGGTATATAACTTTCCATCCATCCCTCTCCAGATGCAGAAAGGAACGTCCCAGTGAGAAAATCAAGAGAAGGCAGCCCTCTGAGAGAGGAGGCAAGGAAGAAATGCCTCACCAGAAACCAGAAACCAAACCTGCTGGTGTCTTGACCTCCTACCTCCAGAACTGTGGGAAAATCAATTTATGTTGTTTAAGCCGCCCAGTGTGATATTTTGTATGGCAGTCCTGCAGAACTAAAACACTTACCTATTTGTTAAGTACCATGTTAGGTAATAAAAATACAAATTTAAGTAAAGCAGAGCCCTTTTTCTCTCAATTAATGAAGAAGGAAAAAGAGAATGGGACATATGATCAACTGATAGCCTCAGGGAGAAAAGTTGGAAGTTTTGACAACAAAGGTAACTTATACACTAAAGCTTTTAAAAAATAGTTTTKGGGGAGGAAGAAATGGAGGCATTTAGACTCGAAAAACAACACTATGATACGGGTAATTGCATTTGTGTTTAGAAACTGTCCATTCTAATTAGTTGGAATACGAGGTGGTGATGGAAGATGTAGGAATCTACACAGAGGCAGCAAAAGGGCCACAGAAATCAACAGAGCACATCCATTCCTGGTCCTGTATGTAAAGATGTCTCCAGCCTATGAGTTATATAGGTCAGTAGACATGCATAGCCATTTCCTTTGTCGCCAGTATTTAAAGTTTGAGGACATAAAAYTTTCAAAAGGAAATGTTTGTGTATGGAATAGAATGTACAAGACTGAATTTTTACTATAAAAGATACAAGAGTTTTATAATGATTTACAATTTTAAAATTAAGTAGCATATACAAATTAAAGAAGGAAATTCCCTTTATTAATAAGTAAGGATGCTGAATCATGCTGCATTTAATATGGATAATTTTGTAAACAGAAACTTCAGGTACATCTTGGGAAACGTTATCTATAAAGTAGATAATGCTCCTTATCTTTTCATTATTTCTACCAGGGTTCCACTGTGTGGTTTATCTATACTATGCTTATGCACAGAATTGCTCCAAGAAATAGCAATTCAAATAAGGGATTCTATACAAAGGAATCCTTTTTCCACAAAAGAATAGATAGCTCATGAGTAATTGAATTAGTGCTATCTTCCCTTTCCTTAGATGTCCACACATTTGTCTAGCATTGTACCAGCAGGGAGGTGGGCAAATGACACTTCTATAAGCAAGTCATATTTATTCCTAACAAGTTTTAAATATTGTAGAAATAAAGTAATATAGTGAGTTTGAGTTGGTTTGGCTTCTTTCTTAGGATACCAATTATTTTGTTAAAGAAACTTTAATATCCTCAATATAGAAATAATTGTAATGACAAAACATTTAATGAGATGGAGGAACCCTTAGGTAGTCCCAGCTAGCAGTAATACACAATGATAACCTGTTGTTCTGCCCTCATGCCCTTCTCATCATTCTTCTCCTTTCATAGTAATCCCAACTCCTTCATAATATACCATCTGCCAGTTGTTCCAGGTAAAATCTTCTTATTTTGTCTCTTACATCCATCTCATCAACAAATCCTGTTGCTTCTCCTTCTAAAATGTATCATGAACTGGGCTACCCTTCTCCTCTACCACCATCTGAGTCCAAGGATCCCTCTCAGTCAGACTACTTCAACCCTCGGGTGCTTTCACTATAAGTCATTCTCCATGGAAGAGCCAGATCATCATGTTTAAAGRCTTAACTTATATCTTTCCTTATAAAGAGTATACTATATATTATATGATTTTAATAGGTATTAATATATAGAAAAATAGAGCATTATTTATATAGCCATTAGTTAAATCTCCCTATTTATCTCTTTTCAAACAACTCTTCCATTTGCCATAGCCCATATATTCTATATTTCATATCTATTTTAGTAATATTTCTTTTTGTCTACTTCACTTATCTCTAAGCCACAAATGCTATTTTTGCCCCCCCCCCGTTTTTGAAATGCAAAAACCTTAAGTTTAAAGGTCAAACTTTAAGTTTGATYTAAATGGTAATACTATGTATTATATTTACCATTTTAAAACATCATTATGCTTAACATCTATCCATATTCATTTTTACTTCTCTATGATATTCCATAATAAACCATATTCCATTTATTCATTTTCCTGTTGATGTATATTTAAATAATTTATAGGTTTGGTTTATTGTTATATTTAAACAATGCTATCCTAGACGTTTTATACATGACTCTTAGCATTTATTTTTGAGATTTAACTCTGAAGCCTACCTCTATAACTAAGTTGCCAAGCAATAGAGAATTCCATTTTCCAAGCTGGCCTTAAGAGAACTGACCAACTGATTATTTGCAGTGGTTCAGTTCTTACAAAGTTTATTGTGGCTCCCAGAGTTAGAGGACCACCAGGGGTACCGCCTTTAAGGGGGACTGTCTCACAACTTTGTCATCTGATGAAATTAACGATGAGAGCAAGTCTCAGATTTTATTCAACAAGAAGTTTCAGAAAGAGCTGTCACCTCTACTGTTAGCCAAATGAAGTCCCAGCTTTGTGTTTATTGCATAAAGTCAAAAGCACAGAATGAAGAAAGTTGGGCAGAGATGGCTCTAATGAGAAACTGGTGTTTTCCCAAGAGTAGACAGTGCGTAGAAAACAATATTTGCATCAGTTTACACATGAGATGTAAAACAGTTTGAACCTCAATTTACATAKGAGTTTTTAACAAGTGAATTAAAACTGAAAATCATATTAAAAACACTTCATGCTTACAGAAAAGTAATTTGCTTTATTTTATGAATGACAATTTCAACAAGAATATAAATTAGATATAATTATACAAACTGGAAAAAGGATATTTACATCCAAACATCACTCTATTAATGGGCACTTTAAATGTATTTAATAAAATAAAATTAGGTTGTTATGGATATCTACATATGAGAATCACAACAAAGAAAGCAAAAACAATAATTCTGTTTGCCCATTCAGTAATTCACAACAATTTACATAACAATTCCCACAACTGATTTCAAAAACAGAAATGTTTTATTTTCTATGAACACAAACTGTACAATTCTAGTGGCCATACTTTATATAATATTGCTTAAGGCAATCTACATAGGAAACATAATCAAGATTCATAATTGCACAAACTTGCAAGGCCTTACATTTCTTATCACAAATTACACTGCTGTCATAATTCACAAAGAAGTAATTGTAGTATTTTATGAACTGCTTACTGTCAGGGATTGCAAATTGTTTAGCTAATCCATATAAACTTTTTGGCTGCAAATCCTCAATGTCATAGGTCTGAGTTAGGATATATTCCAGCTTCCAATTGGCATCTCCCTTTAGATTTGCATCTGTCAGATTCAGATAATACTGCAACATATCCTAAATTTAAAGACAGTAACAAACTTGGTTCATTTTTATGGCATATGAAGCATTACACAATATGAAGAGTGCTTATTAAGATTTATGTGACATTTTTAAAGTTGTCATTAAAATGGGTGTTAAAGAAAATGCTCAATAAAATCTGTCATCACTTTTTAAATTTTAGAAATTATAAAAGGATATAATAGTAAATAACCCAAAATATAAAGAGAGATGTAAAAAATAAAAATTTTTAATTTCATTTAATTCACACAACTCAAAGGTGACTACTGCTAACAGCTGTGTGTAGTATGGTAGTGTGCTAGAGGCTGCGCGATCTAGCTCACAAAAGCTGACTGAAGTGTTCAGAAACATTGGAAAGTCAGACAATGTCACTTTGGTAGCTTGAAATTGTCCACGACAGGAGTATTTCTATCTTAGAAATCAACAAACACTACAAATCAAGGCACTAATTTCCCCAGTGAAGCAATAGCTAAATGTTTTCCAGCACTGCAATGTACAAGTGTTGTTCTATTCTTTATGTACAAAACAAAAATAAATATTTAGAAAATATATGTCTATTTTGACTTCTCAAAAAAATGGAGTCGTACTATATGAAATATTTTGTAYTTTTAAAATTAATGCAAATTAAGGGGAATCATTCCATGTCAGCATATCAGTATACACACACAAACATACACACACAAATAATACATAAATTGTATATATATATCATATATATTCATCTATGTACATGCATAGACATGTATGGGTATGTGTATAAATCTGAGGTTCAGATCCAAAAGCAAGCAACTAACAGTTGTAAAAGAATTTCTTTCAATTAGTTTATCCATTGTTTTATTCTCAATTTAATCGAACATATATGAATGAAACCAGATTTTTGTTGCCCTATTTCCTTGTTATTCTAAGGAATAACAGASTTATCTCTTATTTTAATTTATTTAGTGCTGAGGGCCATTACCAAGTAGGTATGACGCATCGTAATCCTTGCCAGTGTACCCCATGTTAAATGGACTTGCCTTGGAAATTTGCTGCGACCTTGCTTGTGTGCTTTAGTAAGATGACCCTGCTCAAGGTGATC